GGGGTAAATACAATAAGGTGCCCCCCTGATGCCCCAATGTTGAGGCCAGTTGCATCCCTTTGACCTGGTCCCGCGATCGTAGGATTTAGGTTTTTGGTGAGGTTGTCTTCTCTTGGTCCAGGCGGTTAAACCAAGATCCCCCCCCAAACACCCTCTAGCCGCGAGACATGGCCACAGTTAGTAGAGGGTGCCTGGTATGACGGACAGGGCTAGCCCCGTCAGACATCGTTATATGTCCTGGTGCAATTCCCTGGCCACGACACTACAGCCATAGACAAGACGATGAATGAGATGCTTGTTAGACCAAGCCAAGCGCTAGGGGGATTCCCCCCAGAACCTGACCAGGAGCTTCTCCACCAACGACAAGGTCTTGCATCTCCTAGGGGAAGAAAAAATCCTTAGTCCCACCATGATGAAGAGGTAAACGAAACTTCGTATCCAACTCTGCAGGGTGTAACCGGGTGCACTGTCGCTAACATAGCCTATTTACCAAATTTGGTCGCGATCGGACGACATCAACTTTTGACAATGACACGTTTCGTACACGGTCAAAACATGTCATTGCCCTGGGCTCTCCTTACCCTTTTCTTCTCACCTGACGTGTCGCGTAAAGAAGTTTCACTTCAAACATCAACCTCATATTTATCTAATAAATATTCAAACGGCAATCAATTATTCTTTTATTTTTCGGACCCGTAAAACAAAGTACACGTTCATATCCACCATTCTGAGTAATTTCTTTTTTGCTCCCTATATTTATATATCAATTTAGTACAAAACTCAATGGTGCCATTACAAAACCGAAGTTCGGACATTGTACGCTCCCCACTTCCCACTCCCCCTCTTCCACACCGCTGTAGTCCGAAAACAAATCTATTTCGAAAAATGAATTACACAGCAAACATTTCCACCCTAATGCCGAATAAATTGACAACGGAAAAATGATTCCTACCTTTTCTTCCTACCCTCATGTTGGCAATTTAAAAAATTAAATATCGGACAGCATCGGCTGTAATCCTCTGCGTGAAAAAAATTACGCAGGTATAAAAAAGTCGGATCCTTTTTTTTTGTAAATCTGTTTTTGTCGGTTGGACGCTCGAATGAGGTGAAAAAAGAAGCCCAGGGCAATTTGGCGAAACCGAAAATGTTTTGTTTAATTAATTTTTGGTTCCAGCAATATTGTAATTGTTGGAAGGAGAATCTTTGAATATACCCTGCTGTGATTAATTATTTTGACTCTTACGGGTTTTAAATTTATGAATATCGTCTGTGAAATGTGTAAAACTGCTAACTCCATTTTAGAGAAGAGCGGAAAAACGGTAAATATATGCACAGTACAAATATGTGTCCAATTTTGGTTTAAATCATACGGTATCTTCACTGTTAGTTAAGATAGAAGGATTCGGTTTGAACAAACCTGTACAGTAAAAACGCTGCCAAGCGTATGACATAAACCGAGAAACTGTGCATATTGCTAAGAGACATGGAAGGAGATTTGTCGCAGTTGACCGGTCGACCCAATCAGTACCTCTGTTAGTACTTAAAGTTCTAGGGAAAAGTGTACATCATGCGTTCAGCTTCACGATTTAATAACGTTTCGTGATACTTGATTTGTTTTATTATTTATTAACGAGTCGTTGTAATTTTCCCTACATCTTGAAAATTTTTAAATGCAAGTGTTTCTAATTTGGTAACTTTGGTAAAAATAAGTGGAATTGAGTTGGTGTTCGACAGTGGTCGCGCTATTACAACTTTGAATTCACTCAGAAACATATCTAATGATTTTATCTAGTTATCTTTCGAAAAAAAGGATTTTAAATATAAGCGGTTTGCGATTTGACTTTATTAGGTTGTGATTTGACTTTACCTAATAAGGAAAGGCGTACCGGCAACGCCGCAACAGCACACCGTCAAGTTTCTTTCACTCCGGCTTAATAAGATCTCTATGCGATTTACTTCCACACACATGTAAATACCGACCCAAAAGTAACAGTTTGGTTTAGCTCCCAAAATAAAACAAGGGAGAGATAGCAGTATACTAAAAAATCTATGTTTTTAAATACAAAATTTTCCTCATAAACGTATTAAGGCTAACCCTGTATAATTTTTGTTTAATTTTTTTATACATATGATGTACAAAAATAATTATATGTTTTTCATGTTAAGGAAAATAATTAACTAATGCAAAGATGTTGTTTCCAAGATTTTTATATTTAAGGTGTTCCAATTATAATAGTATAAAACAGAAATTGTGAAAAAGTCTACTCAAAATTTCGCATAATAAGAGATCACTTTCAAAATGATTATGATAATTAATTGACCTTCAAAATTATAATATACTTATCACCATATGTGCTTCGTCACGCTTTCATTAATAAATTTAACAAGAATCTAATTATTTTAAGTCATTATAATATCTCAAATCACCAACATAAAAGTAGGATGTATTACACTTCTGTGTTCCATTCCCTATCTTAAATGAGAGAATTATTTAGATTAGTATGTTTTCATTAAAAATTAAGATATATGATTTTTAAGACTTGACATAGTAAAATATTAAGGTTAAATATTTAGTTTTTTTCCTTATTTGTGTAAATTTCAAATGTACCTTTTAAACACTTGCTATAATTTTTTTAAACTCAAGTGTGATTAACAAACATACATTTTAGGTATATTTAGTTTGGTAATGCAGTGTTAGATTCAATTCTGGAGGTGGCTATGGGCCTATTCCACTGCGATAATTTTAGATCTTTTGTGGTCTTCTTCTGATTTCTAGGTTACATTATCTATACCTATTCTTTTCAAAATATCTGACAATTTGAATACTGATATTTTCTATATAGGGTGGTCCGAACTGTATTTCGGAAACGGAAGCAGATTCTGCAGATAAAAATAAGTAAAAAAAGTTCCTATAAGTGTATGTCCTAAAATGCTTAGTTTCGGAGATACAGGGTGTAGAAGTATCGTCAATATTTGGATAAAAATTGGTGTCTGGGAGTTTTTTGACATGATAAATTTGGATTTCGGTATGACTCCAACTTGTAGAGGGCGCCACCTACACATTTTTAACTGGTTTGAAAAGTAATCACTTTTTATCCGTATCTCTATAAAACTACTGAGTGAAAAAATATACATGTCCGTGACTTTTTACGTAAAAATGTCTCTTGATAAAATTCGCTACGAGTAGTGGTTTTCGAGATATTTGGAATCGAAATTCTCAATACCTGTCATCATTGATATATATAATGTTGATTAAATAGTTATTAGACTGAAATCATAAAAAATTTGAAATGTTTTTGTGCCAAAAGTTCTACAGAAACTGTTTTATTATCAATTTTCCGCAGAAAAATGTATGATTAATTTAAAAATTAAATATTTCCAAAATTTATTATTTCAGTCAAATAACTCACCCAAAACGCCCGTGCTTATTTTTTGTCAATAATGACATATATTAACTACGTCCATAATAAATATTTTGAGAACGGTTGCTCGTAGCGATTTTTTCCAAGAGACATTTTTTTACGTAAAAAGTCGACGGACATGTATATTTTTCACTCAGTAGTTTTATACAGGTACGGACCAAAAGTTATTATTCTTCAAACCAGTTAAAAAATATGTAGGTTGACATCGAAATCAAATTTCTCATGTCAAAAAACTCCAGACACCAGTTTTCATCCAAATATTGACCTTACTTCAAAAATTATTTTAAAAAAATCGAAATAAAATGAAACTTCTATTTAAACTTGTTTTACTTATTTTTATCTGCAGAATATGCTGCCGAAGTTTCCGGAATACAGTTCGGACCACCTTGTATATGCCGGGTGGCGCATCGTGGTTGGAAGTATTGGAAATCGCAGGCAAATTTTGTTAACTGTTCAAACTTTTTGGCTGCCCTGTTTAAAACTCAGCTCTGACAGTTAAGTAAAATTTGAACAATTTTGTACAATTAATTTCAGAAAATCTGAATCTATTGTTAAATTAAAACTGATCAGGTAATAATACAAAACCAGGAAAATGCCAACATACCTTTAGTTGAAATTAAAAGAATTTCGGACTTCCATTGTATTTATTTATTTTTTATTAACACAACGTTTCGGTCAGAAGGATCACTGACACTGACAGTGATCCTCCTAGTTGTGTTAATCAAAAATAAATAAAGACAATGGAAGTCCGACATTCTTTTAGTTTCAATACTGAATCATTGTCTACCACATTCAAAATACCTTCAGTTGTCAAAGTATGATATTGTGATTGTCAAATTGTATTTTTTATACGTTAGAATTAATCCTTATTTAAACAAGTTTTAAATTACAAAAATGCATTTCGGGAACGTCGACCGTAGGTACTATTAAGCAGTAGTGTAGACAACACAACAAATTACATTTAACAATTACAGTTGAGGGTTGGAGCTTTTGTTATTATGACAGCAAAATAAAACACTAATTCACCACAATACACGAAAGCATTTTACTTTTGCACTGAACGAGTTTTTCGCTAACCATGTTAACATTATAAGGAGATGATTATAATTCAAAATCATTGTTTTAATCATCTGCTGATTAGTGTTTTATTTGACAATGATAAAATCATAGGTTGAAAACTTAAGGTATGTTGATATTTACCTGGTTTTGCATTGTTAGCTATTCTGTTTTAATTTAAAAATAGATGTAGTTTTTCTCAAATTAGTTAAAATCAGCCTGTTTAGAATTGTTCAAATTTGGCATGTCTATTTAGCATATTCAGGCCTTTAAAACCCTTTTATACGACTTCGTTCTAAAATAAACAGAGGAGACAATATTTAGACAATTCAAAGTTTACTCTGTTTTCAACGACGATGCACCACCCGGTATGTACCTACTAACTTTATTAAACAACTTTATTTAAACCTCTCAATCAAAATTAATTATAATAATAATCCTCTTCCATCATTTTTACTCCCTAAATGTGTATAGTAAAATATAATTAAATTTTCGATATTTACATTTTTCTTCTTGTTTCAGATCCTATTACTGCTCGGCGCCGTATATTCCTCGTTAGCTTTGGACCCACGATTTTCAAAATCTATCGAGGCAAGACCGAGAGTCGGTTATTCCACTAACGTAGTACATACGTTCCCCGGAAACTTAGATAATTGGGCTCAAACTTCTATTAATCCGTATAACCAGGAGCCGGCTGCAAATAACCAGCTTATTCCGAACAAGCCGAGAAGCAAATTTGCTCCAATTTATCGTGATACTCCCGGCAATCTTTTATACGGGCAAAATAACAAAGTTTTCTCAAATTCTGGACCGCATCCAAATCTGAACTCGTTCAACGTAGGATATAATATCCAGTTCGGCCAGAATGGAGGTAGCAGTCAAAAATATATATTTGCCGCCGGCCAGAAAAACAAAAACTTTGATAACGCCGAGATTATAACGGGAAAACTTAAAGGAAATGAGCAAGTGAGAGCGCCTATTCGGTTCGGAACTCCAGCTCCGCGTAGACCCGTAATTACCTTAACTCAAGAACCTCAACTACTTCCTAGTTCAGTAAACTATATAACAAATCCACTTTTCAGTAAATATAATAAACCAGCACGTCCGGCAACTGGTTATGGAAAAATCCCGGATTTTATCAGAGACCTCGACGCATCGTTTCAGGCAAGTCCTTGGAAAAGCATCGGTACGAACATCGAGATGAGTAAGAGCATTGAAGGTCCGCAAATTCAAAAAACTTTTTTTAGACCCTCGTTTCCTCAAAAAGCAGTAACTCAAACGCCATTGCGGTCCTTCAATCACGAGAAAGCGATTAGGTATAGTCAACCTTTTGACGTGAGCAACGTCAGCCCTGAGAAGTTTTTTGATAATTTCCAAGCAGGATCAGAACAATACAGTCAATATTCCGACTTAAATGGTAACAGAAAGAATCATCCAAACATCCCAGAAAACATTGACGTTAACTCACACATACCCTCACATTTGAGAGGTGTTAAGCCGCTTCCTCTTGACACCAGTTTGCTCAAAGACCCAGTATTAACGACAGATTTTAAGGAAGCTGCGAAAGACTCGAATATTCTTCCGATTCATTTTGATTTAAGCCCTATTCAAGCAGCTGTGCAAAAGGAGAGTAGTCGCGCTGTTCAACCGGAGCATGTCCAGCATGAAAATCACAATTATGAATCTCAAAATCGAAATAAACAAGAATTTGGAGCACGACAGAAACCAAAACATCATTAAAGCTAATTGGCAGTGATCGCAAAAAAATTTGAAAGACTTAAACATGTATTTACCAGTTAATAATATCCAAAAATTGGAATTTTAGCAGAACTGAACCCACATTTTCATTTTATCATTATTTATTTATTGAAACTATAATATTTCACTTTCATTTTCAATATAAACTTTCACTCGTGTGGTATTTCGACTGAGAAAAAGATATGTCTCTCTTTATATTATTTATATTATTTAATTTAGAGTAAAGTAGGTTTTTATAAGAGCTTTCGACTATAATATCTTTAATATTATAGTCGTGGGTTACCGGTTATTTATATCAATTAATCCGTAAGAATAAATTACTATTAAATATAATTGTTTCATTTATTAAAATAAGATTTAAAACATCTTTAATCTTATCCTCTCAATCACGACAATCTTTTATACCGGCAAAATAACAAAGTTTTCTCAAATTCTGGACCACATCCAAATCTGGACTCGTTCAACTTCGGAACAATATCCAGTTCGGCTAAAATAGCAACAGTCAAAAATTTATATTCACCGCCGGCCAGAAAAACAAAAACTTTGATAATGCCGAGATTATAACGGGAAAACTTAAAGGAAATGAGCAAGTGAGAGCGCCTATTCGTTTGGGAACTCCAGCTCCTCGTAGACCCGTAATTACCTTAACTCAAGAACCTCAACTACTTCCTAGTTCAGTAAACTATATAACAAATCCGCTTTTTAGCAAGTATAATAAACCAGCACGTCCGGCGACTTCCCGGATTTTATCAGAGACCTGGACGCATCGTTTCAGGCAAGTCCTTGGAAAAGCATCGGTACGAACATCGAGATGAGTAAGAGCATTGAAGGTCCGCAACTTCAAAAAACCCTTTTAGGCCGTCGTTTCAAAAACCAGTAACTCAAACGCCATTGCGGTCCTTCAATCACGAGAAAGCGATTAGGTAAAGTCAACCTTTTGACGTGAGCAACGTCAGCCCGGAGAAGTTTTTTGATAATTTCCAAGTAGGATCAGAACAATACAGTCTCAATTCCGACTTAAATGGTAACAGGAAGAATCATCAAAACATTCCTGAAAATATCGACGTCAACTCACACATACCCTCACATTTGAGAGGTGTGATAAGCCGCTTCCTCTTGACACCAGTTTGCTCAAATACGCTGTATTAACGACAGATTTTAAGGAATCTTCGAAAGATTCGAATATTCTTCCGATTAATTTTGATTTAAGCCCTATTCAAGCAGCTATACAAAAAGAGAGTAGTCGCGCTGTTCAACCGGAGCATGTCCAGCATGAAAATCACAATTATGAATCTCAAAATCGAAATAAACAAGAATTTGGAGCAAGACAGAATCCAAGACATCATTAAAACTAATTGGCAGTGATCGCAAAGAAATTTGAAAGACTTAAACATGTTTTTACCAGTTAATAATATCCAAAAATTGGAATTTTAGCAGAACTGAACCCATATTTTCATTTTATCATTATTTATTTATTGAAAATATTATATTACACATTCATTTTCGATATAAACTTTTACTCGTGCGGTATTTCGACTTATTTCGATATTTTCGTATTTATCCGTAAGAATAAATTACTGTTAAATATAATTGTTTCATTTATTAAAATAAGATTGAATACATCTTTAATCTTACTCACATCTTTTATACCGTCAAAATAACAGAGTTTTCTCAAATTCTGAACCGCATCCAAATCTGAAATCGTTCAACGTGGGATACAATATCCAGTTCGGTCAGAGTAGTAACAGTCAAATATTTATATTTGTCGCCTACCAGAAAAACAAAAACTTTGACAAAGCCGAGATTATAACGGGAAAACTTAAAGGAAATGAGCAAGTGAGGGCGCCGATCCGATTCGCTCCTCGTAGACCCGTAATTACCTTAACTCAAGAACCTCAATTACTTCCTAGTTCAGTAAACTGTATAACAAATCCGCTTTTTAGCAAGTATAATAAACCAGCACGTCCGGCGAGTGATTGTGGAAAAATTCCGGATTGTATCAGAGTCCTCGACGCATCGTTTCAGGCAAGTCTTTGGAAAAGCATCGGTACGAACATCGAAATGAGTAAGAGGTCGAATATCCGGTCGAAGGTCGAAGTATCGAAGGTCTACAAATTCAAAAAACCTTTTTTCGACCGTCGTTCCCTCAAAAATCAGTAACTCAAACACAACTGCACCCGTTTAATCACGAGAAAGCGATTAGGTATATTCAACCTTTTGACGGGAGCAACGTTAGCCCGGAGAAGTTCTTTTGATAATTTCCACGCAGGATCAGAACAATACAGTCAATATTCCGACTTAAATGGTAACAGAATGAACCATCCAAACATCCCAGAAAATATCGATGTTCAATCACACATATCTTCACATTTGAGAGGTGTTAAGCCTTTTCCTCTTGGCACCAGTTTGCTCAAGGACACCGTATTAACGACAGATTTTAAGGAAGCTTCAAAAGACTCGAATATTCTTCCGGTTCATTTTGATTTAAGTCCTATTCAAGCAGCTCTACAAAAAGAGAGTAGTCGTGCTGCTCAACCGGAGCTTGTCCAGCGTGAAAATCACAATTATGAATCTGAAAATCGAAACAAGCAAAAATTTGAAGCATGGAAGAAACCGAAATATCATTAAAGATAATTGGCGCTGATCGCAAAGATGATTGAAAGACTTAAAAATTTACCCGTTAAAAGTATCCAATAATTGGAATTTTAACAGGACTAAAACCACATTCTCATTTTTTTATTATTTATTTATTCAAATTATTATATCTCGCGTTTTATTTTCAATATAAACTTTCACTCGTTTGGTATTTCGACTGAGATTTTTTTTGTATATTATTTAATTTAGTAAAATGTAAGTTTTTATAGGAACTTTCGACTATAATATATACCGGGTGGTGCATCGTGGTTGGAAACATAGGAAATCCCATGCAAATTTTGAACTATTCGAATATTGGCTCCCCTATTGATTTTATAATGAAGTCGTAAATAGATTTTTTAAAGGTCTACGTTTATAAACACACATGCCAAATTTGAACAATATTGAAAAAGCCGAATTTGAGTAATTTGAGAAAAACTGTATCTATTTTTAAATTAAAACTGAACAGGTAACAATCAAACACCATTCAAAATTCGACATACTTTAAGTTGACGACGTGTTTTGAAACTGTAACTTCATTTTAACAAAATTTAAAATTTAGTAATAATTTATTGTTATACACATTCAAATAAAAGTGAGCATACGTAAATGGTACTACGCGGGAAATAGCTTAGACTTTACATCTGACATGTTTCTGTTAATTCCCTCTGAAATATTAAAATTTTATTAAAATTAAATTACTTTTGACAATGACAAAATCATAATTTGTAAACCTAAGGTATGTCACTTTTTGACTGGTGTTTGATTGTTAGAGTTTTCGGTTTTAATATACAAAATAGATGTAATCTTTCTTAAGCTACACAAAATCGGCTGGTCCAAAATTGTTCAAATATGGCATATAGTCCAGTCATCTTAGTCAAAATAGAGTAGGAATCTCGGAATTCAAGATAACTGGCTGGAAACTCGTATAAACCTTTATTTTAGCATCCTAAAACATGTCTCAAAACCTACATATGATAGCGTGTGCGCGACTTGTCGATAACTGAGGTCAAAGGTCAAAAAAATCGATTTTTTGCGCATTTTTTGCAACTATCTCGTTTCCTTCCACATTTACGCTATTTGTATTTACTATAAATATTGTAGAGGGTAAAATTCTATACAACTTTTGTTTCAAAATTTTTTTTTGCACCTCAAACCGTTTTTGAGATAGAGAGCGGTGAGCGCGCAGTCTTTCATTATACACGGTATCATTCAAGTTCAACCTGTAGTCTCGGTCAAAAACACGCCGTATAAAGTCCGTTAATTATTGAAAAATATATAATAATTATAAATAATTTACATTTTTTCATAAAAGATCATATTGAATATAATATTTTTTTCATAAATTAAGTATATCTTCATTTAATAACACTTACCTCTTTGTACAATTAGAAAATTATTTACAGAAATACTTTAATTACATTTTAATTATAGTTAGATTTATACTAATTACATTTTAAGTAAATAAAAAGACAAGAAACACATTTTTAATTTATATGTCTATTAAAAAATACGATTTCATACATTTCTCATGGTTGAAATTAAAAAAATTGAATAAAAATAAAAAGAACTCCCCCATGTTCTTATTTTTAGTTTTCTTCTTCTTCTTCTTCATCATCATCGTCGTCTGGTCGTTGTGGAATTTCAAATTCTTCTTCATTTTCATCTTCAACGACATTTGTCTCCAAGTCTTCTAGGATATCGGGGTTAAATGTACCATCTTCATTGACATCACTCTGATAGGGTGAAGCATTGAGACAAGCTTGCCCATTACACTGGCCACAAGCTAAAGAGCACGGCAACCCTGACTTCCTGCATCCACATCGCGAACCACAACCATTCTTGCAGTTGCAGGATATTGTGTTCAGCAAATTTTCTGGAGCTGGAGTTGAATAGTAGTGGTAGGTTCCAGGAATCCATTACGCATTATCCAATCCCAGTCCTGGGGTTCTAAATCATGCCCTAACCAAGCCTGAACTTGGTAGTAAACACGATTGAAATGTTAGTGAGCTGCTGCACTTGTTGGTGGAAGATTTGATAATTGCACAGGTTTATTCAGTTTGGTTGATTTGATGAATTGTGTATAACGAAGATGATCGATGCTATAATTAAAATGTAATTAAAGTATTTCTGTTAATAATTTTCTAATTATTGTACTAAGAGGTACAAAGTGTTATTAAATGAAGATATATACTTAATTTATGAAAAAAAAAATAGTATATTCAATATGATCTTTTATGAAAAAATGTAAATTATTTATAATTATTACATATTTTTCAATAATTAACGGACTTTATACGACGTGTTTTTGACTGAGACTACAGGTTGAACTTGAATGATACCGTACATAATAAAAGACAGCGCGCTCACCGCTCTCTATCTCAAAAACGGTTTGAGGTACAAAAAAAATGTTGAAACAAAAGTTGTAGAGAATTTTATCCTCTACAATATTTATAATAAATACAAATCGCGTAAATGTGAAAGGGAACCAGATATTTGCAAAAAAATGCGCAAAAAATCGATTTTTTGACCTTTGACCTCAGTTATCTACATCATATGTAGGTTTTGAGACATATTTTAGGATGTTAAAATAAAGGTTTATACGCGTTTACAGCCGGTTATCTCGAATTCCGAGGTGAAACCCCTAAGATGACTGGAATAATATGTATT